AAACCCTAAACCCTAAACCCTATAAGTGCAAGGCCAGGTGCGTCAAAGAGGGCTGTGACCTGGGGCTTTAGGACTTTTGGGCCTTAGGGTTTAGGGTTTAGGGTTTGGGGTTTAGGGTTGAGGGTTTAGGGTTTAGGGTGTAGGGCTTACGGGTTGAGGGTTTAGGTTCTTTAGGGGGTCAGCGTTCAGGCTTATAGGTCTAAGGCCTGAGGTAGCTTTTATTTGAATGGCAGCCTTGAAAGGACACGCCACATGTACACACTCACCACTGTTTAACAGGAATCATGTACATAAATAAATAAGCATATATATATATGCATCTATTTATATATGCTAATATTTTTTCTGCATATATACATACACGCGCGGGTGTGTGTGTGTGTGTGCATGCACTGAACGAGAACAACTATATCAACGATGCTTCAGAAAAAGCTTGGGCCGCCAGGGTGTGGCCTGACTTTGTTCTTCAGGGTTTGGGGTTGGTGGGTTCGAAGCCGGTTTTGGGGTTTAGGGATTAGGGTGTGGGGTTTAGAGGCTTGTGGCTTTTTCGGGTGCTGCCACTGTCTACTAATTGCCATGCAACACCGCCCACCGCGCCACGAGAGTGCGCAAATTTGAGGGCTAAGGGTTGAGGGTTGAGGGAAGCCTTCCCCTCGACTCTGCGCGACATAGCAAGGTGCAGCCACATGCCAGGGTATGTAACCCAAGGTTCCCTAATACTCCCCACTACTCCCTAAGGCTCCCTAAGCTTCCCTAAGGCTCCCTAGGTACTACCCCCCATGAACCGCCCCCCCTTAAGAACCCTTGAAAGTAAGTAATCACTCGCGTGGGGGAAGATCTCAAAAAGCAACGGGCTCACGGCCTAAGAGTTCAGGGCTAGCGGCCTACAGGAAATTCCTACACCCCCAACCCCTAAACCCTCAAACGCCTAAACCCCCAAACCACATCTCCCACAAATCCCCCTCGCCCGCAGCCCCGAAACCCCTAATCCCCGAACCGAAGCCCGAACCCAGTGCAGGGCTTGGGGTTTAGGAGTTGAGGGTTTAGGGGCTTATGAGTCCTCAACTCCAAACACTACACTCTACACCCTGAACCGGAAGCCCTAAATAAACCCTACACCCAAAGCCCTTAGCCCTAAACCCTTAGCCCTAAACCCTACACCCTAAACCCTAAGCCCTGAACCCCACACCCTAAATCCGAAGCCCTACCCTCTGAACCCTAAGCCCTAAATCCTAAGCCCTAAACCTTCGACCCTAAGCCCGACACCTACACCCTACATCCTAAGCCCTAAACTACTACACCCTATACACCCTAAGCCCTAAACCCGAAAACCCCAACCCTGAACCCTAAACTAAACCCTAAACCCTAAACCCTAAACCCTAAACCCTGAACCCTGAACCCTCAAGCTATGGGCCCCCAACACAGCGCGGGATCAGCCCACGGTCGGCAAAATGCTGCGCGCCGCCGGTGATGACCTTTCAGGAACCCGGTTAGGTTTAGGGTTTAGGGTTTAGGGTAGGGCTTAGGGTTTAGGGTTTAGGGTTTAAGGTTTAGGGTCTTTAGGATTAACTGGATTTACAGGGTTCAGGGTTGTTTGGCTTTTTGTTCAAGGCTTTTGGGGTTTGGTTTTAGGGCTTATAGGGTTTAGGGTTTGAAGGGTTCAAGGCTTATATACATAAAGTGGCTTGTAGGGCGTGGTGTCCAAGCTTCAATTCTTAATACACTCCACCGAGACAACTACTTGAAGGTTCATGGGAAGGTGCAAGTAGGGTTACAAGTACCCTGTAACCCTAAACCCTAAACCCTAAACCCTAAACCCTAAACCCTAAACCCTAAACCCTAAACCCTAAACCCTAAACTCTAACCAGCTACAACTGAAGTTACCTTACATATATGCCCCCCACCCATGAACCCTCAAGTAGCAATCCTGGCACCCCCAGAGCCCCACAAGTGCCCCAAACACCCTACCTCGTAAATTTTGAGGGTTCAGGGTTTCGGCTTTAGGGCTTCCGGTAGCCCTAAACCCTAAACCCGAAACCCGAAACCCTTAGAAGTCGGCCACGAAGCGTAGGACTTGCCGCTGCCAGCTGCGCCGAGAGCCACAAAGGCAGCACTCTGCGGCACCTGGGGAAGCCGAACTACCCTAAACCCTAAACCCTAAACCAAAACCCTAAACCCTAAACCCTAAACCCTAAACCGCACACAGACTGGGCCTGCCTCCTCCAAGGCCGCCCTCACAGCCTCCTTGGCTACCTCCCGGAACACGGTGTCCTGGCTTAGGGTTTAGGGTTTAGGGTTTAGGGTTTGGGGTTTGGGGTTTAGGGTTTAGAGTTTAGGGTCTAGGGGTTACGGTTTAGGGTCTAGGGGTTAGGTGTTTAGGGTTAAGGGGTCAGGGGTTTAGGGTGTAGACTCTGGAGTTGAACATAAACATGTACGGGGCCAAGCGGACACTTGAGGAACTCTGAGCCTAAGATGCTGAAACCTAAAGCCTTCCTCCCTTAAGCCCATAGACCCTAAAGCCCTAAACCCGGAACCCCTACACCCCAAACCCCAAACCCCAAACCCTAAACCCTAAACCCTAAACCCCAAGCCCTAAACACCGTCAAGTACAAGGGTTCCTGGGCTCTTGGGCGCAACCTCGGTTTCGTTGGCGCGGCATGTATCCACACAACGACCTGACCACACTCCTACATCCTGCATCCTGCACTCTCTGAGGGTTTAGAGTTTAGAGTGTAGAGTTTAGAGGGAAATTACGTGGTCCCCTAAGGGGGGCCCTTAGTTGGGGAACCCTTATAATATACCCCCCCATATACGCTCCAACAACAGGGGCCCATACTTCAGAACCCTTGAAAGAAGGGACCATATTCAGGGACCAGGTAACTACCCTCTATCCCTAAACCCTGAGCCCTAAACCCTAAACCCTAAACCCTAAACCCTAAACCCTGAGCCCTAAACCCTGTTTGTTGGCACTCCGGGACCCCCAAAACCCCTAAATCCCCCCGAAAAACGCAAAGCCCTGAAAGCAAATAAGACCCAGCCTGAAACCTCAATCCCCTAATTCCCTATAAATTCTCCCTCAAACTTCAAGCGCGCCTGGGGTGTGCCGGGGGTCAAGATCCGGTCGAAGTGGAAGATCTCCGGAGCCAAAGTGCTCATGTCCGTCAGAGTCACTCCTCAGCGTTGAGGAGTTAGCTTTCAGCGCTAGGGTTCAGGGTTAAAAGTTTAACCCTAAACCCTAAACCCTAAACCCTAAACCCTGAATCCTAAACCCTAAACCCCAGAGCTTATACCACAGGATTTCGGTTTAGGAGGGAATACTGAAACCCAGGGCAACTGCGGCCCCTTGCGCCCTCAGTCGGAAACTTCACCAGCAGGCCAAGGTCCCTTAAGTGTAGGGGCCGTAGAAAAGCACGGACATGACTCACATGACGGAACTTTTGGCATGCATGATGTGTACCCGAAACCTGAAACCTCGAAGTCTCGAAGTGCTGGGGTTTAGGGTTCGGTTTGGGGTCTGGGGTTAGGGAGGCCCATCCAGGCAAACCCCAAAAGACCTACTGCACCTCTGAACTCAGGAGAATCCCCCCAAATCCCCCCAAGTAAACCCTCCAGACATAAACCCGCAAGCCTTGGGATTTGGGATGTTCCCCCTATACTAACAGTCCTTAATAGGAATTATAGTGCCACCTATGTATTATGTCCCTATTAAAACTTTTAGTACAAGGGGGACATCCAGCCTGTTAAAACCCGAGACCCTTATAGGCTAAAGTCTCCGAAATGCCGAACCCAAGCCGTCTCTTGACCGTCTTGGCCCCTGTCACTGGAGACCCCCCCCCCCCGCCTCACAGAACAAAAAAGTGAAGAACGACAACAAACGAAATAGGGGTTGGGGTTTCGGGTGTTATTTAGGGTTTAAGGTTCAGGGTTCAGGGTTCAGGGTTCAGGGTTCAGGGTTCAGGGTTTAGGGTTCAGGGTTCAGGGTTTAGGGTTTAGGGTTTAGGGTTTAGGGTTTAGGGTTTAGCAAGAGAAATGCTGAAGCCGCAAGGGCGGCTCCGGTCATCGAAGGCGAAACGCTTCTCCGCGAAGTCAGAGCGCGGATGCACAAGGCAGACATGCCGTGGCTTGGACATGGTTTAGGGTTTAGGGTTTAGGGTTTAGGGTTTAGGGTTTAGGGTTCAGGGTTCAGGGTTCAGGGTTCAGGGTTCAGGGTTCAGGGTTCAGGGTTCAGGGTTGAGCCCCCAAATCACTAAAAGCCCTGGCTCAGGGCCTGTTCGGGTTCAACACTTGCATTGAAAAGCAGGTGTAAGGTTTAGGGTTCGGGTTTAGGGTTTAGGGTCTAGGGTGTAGGGTGTTGAGGGGTGTAGGCCCTACACTGTAGGGTGTAGGGTTCAGGGATTAGGTTTTTAGGGTTTAGGGTTTAGCTGGGCACCGGGTCACTGGGCTCTGGTACCAGCGACTTCGGGCGCTGCCTGTCGGGTTTTTGCTTCTCTCATTGAGGAACCAGGGGGGTAAAGGGTTTAGGGTTTAGGGTTTAGGGTTTAGGGTTTAGGGTTTAGGGTTTAGGGTTTAGGGTTTAGGGGGCCCTTGGCGAGTGAGGATTTAGGGGTTGAGGGGGGGGGGTCAGAGTTGCGCTACTGACTATAGCTTGGAGCCAAAGCTTGCGATGCAAAGGCATCGCTGCATCATCAGGATTCTGTGGCACAGAGAGCAGTCTCCCTGGGTTTAGGGTTTAGGGTTTAGGGTTTAGGGTTTAGAGTTTAGGGTTTAGGGTTAGCCCCCCCATACCCAAAGTAGCGGTCCACACACCCCCAAGATACCGCAATCCTTCTCATGAGCCCCCCCCCCCCCCCCCCAAGGTAATTACCCCACCCCCCCTGCCCCCCCACCCCACTTGAGGAAGCCCTATGGAGGACTTCTCCTGGTGAAGTCAGGTGTATAGGGCTTAGGGTTTAGGGTTTCGGGTTTAATGGCTTCTGGGCTCTCTGGTTGGTCCGCAAGTCCTTTGACGTCGCCGATGTTGTTAACGGAAGGTCTGGCAAGTTGTCTGGCTCCTCCACACTGCCGGTCTTGGGTTTTGGGGTTTAGGGCTTAGGGCTTAGGGCTTAGGGCTTAGGGCTTCGAGTTTAGGGTTTAGGGTTTAGGGTTTAGGGTTTAGGGTTTAGGGCTGCGAAGCTGGTGTAAGGTCCTCCACAATCGACGCGCTCCTCGTAGCAAACCAAGTGACAACCCTGAGTCGGTCTCTCGACACATGCCGAACCACCCGCTGCAATCTTCCGACGGGCCCCCCTCTGTCCAGAAAAAACCTAAACCCGAAACCCTACACCCTAAACCCTAAACCCTACACCCTAAACCCTAAACCCTAAACCCTGAACCCTTTGGAAGAAGTTGGTGAACTCTTCTTCTGGCTTGGGAAGCGTCGACAAGGTGGCAAGCATGACTGCCACACCAGCGACGACCATGACAAAGAATACTGTTTGGGATGTTCCTCGTTTAGGGTTTAGGAGTTTAGGGTTTAGGGTCCTTAATAGGGATTATACTGCCGCCCTATTATAATACCTAGTAAGGACTGCTAGCATAAGGGAGAGAATCCCAAACAAACTGTACACTTTCGACTTTCGATGGCGATGCGGTCTAGCAAAGCGGGCGCTCTAAAGAAGACCAGCTCATGCTGCTGCCACGAAAAGTGATGAAAACACGACTTTGTCAAACCTTACACCCTAAACCCTGAGCCCCAAACCCTAAACCCTAAACTCTAAATCCTAAACCCCCAAACTGCCCCAACTGCCCCAAACTGCCCCAAACTGCCCCAAACTGCCCCAAACTGCCCCAAACTGCCCCGAACTGCCCCAAACACAAGGGAAAGACTCCTTAACGGTGACGCCGGCTGGAATGAGGCTGATGGTTCCGCCAGCCTGGCCAACGAGCCAGCAGAACGGGGGTTCAGGGGTTTAGGGTTTCGGGTTTAGGGTTTAGGGTTTAGGGTTAGGGTTTAGGGTTTAGGGTTTAGGGTTTAGGGTTCATCAGGGAACCTAACTTGAGAACTATCCACATAGGCTTGGGGGTTACTAAACTGTTCGTAGGGCGCTGGGCTTCATCAGAACGGGCACCTCGGGGAGCCTTTACTTGCTTGCAACCCTAAACCCTAAACCCTAAACCCTAAACCCTAAACCCTGAACCCTGAACCCTAAACCCTAAACCCTAAACCCAATGTAGCCCAACTACAGACGAGTCCTAACCTACACCTTGGGCCCGAAAGCCGAACACGCAGGGGTAATTTCCTAAACCCTAACCCTAAACCCTAAACCCTAAACCCTAAACCCTAAACCCTAAACCCTAAACCCTAAACCCTAAACCCTGAGCCCTAAACGTGTTTTTTTGGGGTTGTTCAGGCTTTTGGTCGTCATGCCATGTTCCACAAAGCAAGAGACCAGGCTACCGGGATTTACCGGCCCTCGGCTTGGTGACTTATGCAGAAAAAGGGGGGGGGGGGGGTGGTAGGCTTTTGGGGTTTAGGGTTTAGGGTTTAGGGTTTAGGGTTTAGGGTTTAGGGTTTAGGGTTGGGGGCTGATCATGCATGTGGTCATGGATTTTGTGGGCATACCTTGAGCTATAACCCCGCATCTTTTAGCAAGAAGGGTGATCCCCTAATACACCCCGCCCCCGCCCACCCCAAAAAATGAATCCTCGGAATAAGAATCCACTCCCCAAATTCCTTACCATAAGAATGCCCTCCCCCGAAAAACTCCCAACAAAAAGCAAGATACTTCTTACTTTCAGACCCCCCATAGAACAAGCCTAAACCCCAACCCCAAACCCCAAACCCTAAACCCTAAACCCTGCCCCCACCCAGCCACCCACCCACCCCAACCCTAAACCCTAAACCCTAAACCCTAAACCCTAAACCCTAAACCCCAAACCCTAAACCCTAAACCCCCAATGGAACGGCTGGGCTCCGCACCCAGCCAACCGATGCCACCACGCCTTGCGAGCCTGGACTTGTGATCAGAGTCTCAAAGGCCGGCCTTTCGGGGTACCACACAAAGAGACATTCCAGAATTGAGGGTTTAGGGTTTAGGGTTTAGGGTTGCAGGGTTTAGGGTTTAGGGTTTAGGGGGATATATGGTACGCTATGGAATCTCTTGAAGGGTTTTGGGGGATATAAGCGCTTGAAGAGCTTTGGGGAATATAGGGAACCCTAGAGAACCCCTTAAGGGCTGATGTAAGGAGAGCCTAAACCCTAAACCCTAAACCCTAAACCCTAAGCCCTAAACCCTAAACCCTAAACCCTAAACCCTATTTGGAAGTTCGGGTTAAGGGCTGCTTGGGGCTTGGACTTCCTTTTCGCACGCATCTCCCTGGGGATCCGTCGACCCTTACCACTAAACCCTAAACCCTAAACCCTAAACCCTAAACCCCTAAACCCTAAACCCGAGCCCCTGACCCGAACCGCAAAAGCTGTGGACCAGGCATTCGTCACTGTCAGGCGGAGGTGCGTCTGCAAGCGAAGCTGAGGGTTTAGGGTTTAGGGTTTAGGGTTTAGGGTTTAGGGTTTAGGGTTTAGGGTTTAGGGTTTAGGGTTTAGGGTTTAGGG